ATATGATATAATCTACGCTATTGATTTGGCTCCCAAACACAGGTAGGTAAGCGATATTTTTATGTATTAAATTGGCCACCTAGAGTTATGCATTGAATATTGGCTCCCTCGACATTTATTTTAGTTTTAATATTATTTAGTAGGCTTAAATTTTTATATATTCAAATCTTGATACTATACCATTGTCATATTTCTGAATTTGACTGTCTATAAATTGTATTATTTTTTTTTGTGTGGTCTTTGTACATTGGAGCTTCTTATTATAATTTCAGTATCCGCTTGAAAACCATACCAATACATCCATGCGATTGTAAATATTGGGTGCATAGAACAAAATTGAGAATTCAATTTTGAGTGAAAAGATTCACATGAATTACTATTGCTTTTTTTAATACTGATTTTTTCTGCCCAAATTAAAGGTGGACATTTAATAAAGAATCATTTTCAACTAAGTAGTCCATACATTTTTTAACTTTTTCATTATTCGGTTGTAGGTATCTCATCTCGTTTGAATGAAAAGCAATCACCAATATTAAAGTCGTGTTTTTTTTTTAAACTTTTATATTTTGAGAATCACTTGTTTAAAATTATATTGGGAGCCAATTCAATGATCGATGACTGATGAGGTACGTCTTTACCTAATATTAGGAGCCAATTCAATGGTCACCAATATATAATAATGTAGGCATATTAATGAATTAGAAACCTATATTATGACTGTATGGCTGTCGTTATTTTCAAACGGGGAACAATAGTAATATTTAGAGTACGGATTTTAAAGCAATGACAAAACTAAAGAAAAGCATTAAAAAAAAGAAATAAAGCTGTCTAAATCTTCTAAAAAAGATTTTAAAAAACATTAAAAATGGGTTTTAAAAAAAAAATATTTACTACAAAAAAGTATTAAAACTATTTATTAGTTAATTAAATTATTTTTTTAAAAAAGGTATTATAATAAATTTATTTACAAGCCTGCTTCTTCGAGTTTTCCTCAATATTTCCACAATTGTTAATCTGTAAATTAAATTTATTCTATTTAAGATAATTTATAAAAAATAAATTAAATAATAGTTTAAAATAATTTTTTTTACCTACATCAGGCGGAGTTGCATTGGATAATTAAAACTTTTTTCAAGTTTTCAAATAAAAACTAACATTTCAAATACGTTTATTAAGAACACATTTTGAAAAAATGTACCAAAAATGCACAAAAAAAAGGGAGGGAGAAAAGGGCCACCCTCAAGCTGTATTTCTAAACAATTTTACTGTTAAAAACAAAATAACAAAAAAAAAAAGTGGGCAAGTGGGTGTCGCTCTGCTGTACAGTAGGTTACAAGTGGGTCACTGTATAATGGATGGTATTAAATTTGAATTCAATGATATAATATCATTGTATAAGAAAAACGATTCTGAGCGGTGACGGTATGTCAGTCTATGTACGTATAAGACATATTATATACATATCTATGGTATTATTAAAAAATTGACCTATAATAGGTACCTATAATAAATTCCAAATTAATCATATCACAATATCCATTAGGTACTGGTAACGCGTTATACATCAACAAAAACCGTGATACTATCATAGATATATAATAGTACACTTTAGAAGTTTCAAGTGCCCACGAATAATATTATTCAATCACAACAAAATAACTAAAATAGTTATTCTAGGTTTTTTAATATGTAATTTCGTCCAAATTTGAATTTAAAATGTCTGCAAAAAATAAGTGTGTTCATATATTTTTTAGATTTTTTGGTTATAGTATGAACTATTTATGAGAACCTTTGTGTTGAATTTGTAATCCATAGCTATAAAAACTGAACATTTTATAATTTATTAATTACAATGATTGATAATTTTCGAGATTTTGATAAATTTTGTCAAAATTTGATCTTTAAATGCTTATAAAAAAAAACGGTGCCTATGTATTTTTAATATTTTTCAACTGCTATTGTAACAATATATCAGGAGCCTTGTATTAAATTTTTACACTTTTTGGCCCAACAGATAAAACTTTATTGATATTTATAGAAAAAAAAACTAAAAAAAATTGAAAGCTGTAAATGTCCATAAACAGCTCAAAAAGAGTCAAAATATTTTCAAAATTGTATGGTGTATAGAAAATGCTAATTTAAACATTCAGTGAAATTTTCATGTATCTACAGTTGTTCGTTTTTGAATTGCAACAAAATAAGGAAATCGCTACATGAGTAATCGAGTGAAAATCCAATGTTGTAAAAATTTGAATTTCAAACGCTCATAAAAATTTAATTTGACTGTCCGGTAGAGATTTTTTTATTAATAAAGGTAGATAATCTTATAAGGAATCTTGTGTTTCATTTTCAAATCTTAGATTTAAAAAGAAAAATTTTTACGAATTCTTAACTCAAAATAATTTGCTAATTTTCGTGATTTTTCCATATTTTGTCAATTTTTGAATTTTAAATGCTTATAAAAAAAAATTGTGACTAAGGATTTTTAATATTTTTCATCTGCCTTTGAAACAACATATTAGGAGCCTTCTATTAAATTTTCAAGCTTTCGCAACCAACAAATAAAATTTTATTGATATTTTTAGAAAAAAAACTAAAAAAAAATGGAAAATGAAAATGTCCCTAAACAGTTCAAAATAAATCAAAATATTTTGAAAATGTTATCGTGTATAGAAAATGCAAATATAAACAACCAGTGAAAATTGCATGTATATACGTTCATTTGTTTTAGAGTTACACCAATAACCAAAATCGATTTTTTGGAAAACCAATTTTGCGTAAAAATTCCCGTTTTTCCTTAATTTTTATGTTGTTTTTCCCGGCGCTTGTGAAAACTACTGGGAAATTTATACTTTTGACCCCCCAAAGTACCAACTAGATTCACTTTCCTATCAGAAAAGCTACTGATGAAGAAAATCCAAGCACTTTTACTGTCCTAAAACGTGATGACAGACACAAAAAAAATATAAAAATATAAAAATATAAAAACACACATCATTGTAAAACCAATACATTCATCGCTCCGCTCAGAATCTAAAATCATCGAAATTGTCTGAAAATTTTGACTCCCTGTATCTCTTACTCACTGCCTCTGCCTGTATTGAGCTCCAAAATATTATATAAAATTAATATTGTTGACTTATTATTGTGTTGTATAATACTAAGTTTTTGTTTATAAATAAAGTTATTATCTTATTGTTGATACTTGTTAGAGAAAAAACATTATTTCACCAAAAAAAAAAAAACATACAGAATTAAAATGTAGTAATTTTTATGACCTACATTACTTTTATTAATTTTTTGTCTTGACTATAACCTACCCAAAATGTTGACCTTTGTTTTTATGCTTTACTTAAAATACCCGAGAATATAAATATCAAGCACTGTAGAGGTACAAAATACAAAAACATTTTTGCTTATATTTTTGACAAATAATAATGTGAAGCGTAAGACCCTGCTTTTTTACGAACAGTATAGGAATTTACAGCAAGAATTATGTTACAAAATTTTACATTTACATAATTTTGCTTCTTGTGGGACCAATTATTTTAGATTAGACTGAATGTTCTATGTTAGTTTGTTACCGTACACTACAACTGCAGAAGATCAGTGATTATTTGTTCGCAATTTTTCCTTGTAGCTGGTGAAATAATTTTTTCTAAATGTTCATAATAAAATACATAATTCACTGTTAGATGTGGATATGTACACTATATAAATGATAATAAATACAAACATTAAGAATCATACATCTTATATATTAAATAACATTGCACGCAGTTATAATATTAAACTGTATTAAAGTTTTACATTTTTTTAATGATTTATTAGTAATAACTTAATAGTGACTATAGTACACCAACAGAAAACAAACTACACACAAAAAGATTTGATATTAACAACTTATTTCAATACAATCATTATATTATTATAAAGTAATATTAAATTCACATCCGACCGCAATTTCTAATTACTATAATTATTATTAATATAATATATTTTAACAAATATGTTTTAGTAGAGCTGTCGTATTAATCAGACGCAAAGTTTACAACTTGAGATTTTAACGAGCACGGAGAGGAGACAAATCAACCAAACATTATGAGGTGTACACATTACAAGTACACAATTGTTTTATTTAACAATAAATTACTTAAATAAAATAAACATATAAGTTGAAGTTCTTCCAATTAATTTGTCTACGGCAGACATACAAGTATATAAAAATGAAAATAAAAAATATCACATATTTTTCATTTTTACATAACAATATTTTCCATTCACTAATATAATAATAACTTAAAGCTAATGAAAAAAATATTTACACTTGAGTTTTTTTTTAATTTTTAATTTTTAAAAATAGATAATTTTGTTTGATCAACACTTGACTAGAAAATATGACATTAAATTAGTTTAATATTGATTTTGAGTTGATCAATTTAGATAAGAAGTTAAAATTAAAACATAAAACAAAATTATAGAAACAATAATATGAAAAAATAAAATAATATATATTAAAGGCAATAATATTAGCAGCCTAGATTTTGTACTGAACATTGTCAATATGCTCGGCACAGCCTTTTTGATGATTGGTAAGATACAAGATCTTGACATATTTAATAAAATAAAATCTGTACAAATATAATAATACGATTAAAAAATAAGAATAAAATGGAAATGATTAATATTAATAAAACATAATGGACAGTATGGAAAATGAAAATAATAAAATCAATAAAAAATAGGAATGTGCTAGATTGGTAACAATACATAAAAAATGTACATACAAAGAACCTAAGACAAAAGACAATGATACAATAATAAGTAAGGAATATTAGTTATAAAAGACAACAATGACAACAGCTTACAACAATAAAGACAACAGCTTACAATAATCATACAGTAACAATTTTTTTGATAAATGCACACAGACATAATTTACGCCGCTGTCATCAGGAACCATCTGAGGAATGGTGTTGAAAACACGACCAAGAACAACATCAAAGGTTATCGTATCTGTTACGGCTAGTAGATCTGGTCAACGAACAAATTGGAAATGATGTTGTCCTTTTTGCAGATCTGTTAATTTTTTTTTAAAGAAAGATATTGATTAAAAAAATTTAATATGAAAAATACATAACATACAAGATACAGTATGTGGTCGTTTCACAGTGGCAGTAGTATACATAGTAAATGTCCATGTACATAAAAATATAATAATAATAATTGTATCGTTATTGAAGTGTATGGATGAAGTGCAGGGACAATCAAGCATATGTATACTAAAAGGTATCAAAGGATGAAAAACAAGACAACTGAAAATATATGATAGTGTTTAAATTATTAAATCCAGTGTAATTTACTACAGTCATTTTAGGTAGACACAAAAGCAAGGGTAGGGGTAAGAAAGAAATCAATTTTACTAGAGTGTGCACAGTTTTTTTTTTTTTTTTACATGTACCAGAAACAAGGGTTTTTTTTTGTTCCACACAAAGCACATTCTCATATTGTTTACCTGACATTTACTTGCACCATAATATGCGGTCAAGTATGGATCAATTATTGGAACCATGTGTATCGCCAGATCTCTTCTCGGGACACCTGATTAAGACAAGTTTAGGTCATGATAATTTTAAGAATAACCTCTGATGGTTATTTTTTAAGAATTTAATTGTCGATGAAAACCATAAAAATGAATGAATATATCTTTAAAAAAAATGACTTGTGTTTCAAACATATGGTGAGAGATATTCAATATTATGGGATAATTTAACTGATATTTAAATTTTAATGTAATTCGTTAAGTAAAGTCTAATATTAAAACAGAAAAATTAATCATAACTTTTGGAAAATTAAAAAAAATTAATTATTTCAAGTATACTCTACACACTTTTTAGATCATAGATATTTTAAATATTTTAAATATTCAGCATGTTTTTAGTACGGTTGAAATTGATATAATTTAATCAATGATTAAACAAAAACTTCACTATTGTGGAAAACCGGTCTGAACAGTATAAACAATTACATATTCAAAGAAAATAATTAAACATAGCCCCTAGAATTGGTATTGTATCTACTATTGGTCTGTAATATCAGTTACAATATTTCTGTAGTAAAGATTAGTAGTATAAATTTTGAAAAATTAAATTTTGTTATCATATTTATCATTGATTATTAAACTTGTACATTGATATCATAAAAACAAATACATATTTAAAATACATACCTCCTACGTCTCATTGAAGCATTATGTCCGAAGCGTCCTCTTGAGGTCAAAAGCATCCGAGCATTTCCTTGAGCTGGCCTAGATCCTCCGTGACACTGTAAGGCTGATAAATGTGCAGCATAACCATCACTCAACACAGTTGCCATAGAGTGATGTTTACGACCCACTTTGCCTATGATGAATATTTGTTTTGGTTTCAGATCCAATGCACTATAGACAGAAATATCTTTACTACTTCCATAGGCCGCGTGTATTATCATTTTATGATCCTGGAAATAAAATTTAAGTGGGAAAAATATATTAGTGTAGTTGGAGGAATATATATTTCACTATATTATGTGATATATTTACCTGCACAAGGCTTTTGAGATATGTGATTTTGTGAGCAAGGAAGTCTGTAGAAAGACCATCAGCAAACGAAACTAGTCCATGAGGAAAGTTATGTTGACTCAACCATGACAGAACACGTTGTTGTTGCATATCTGGTCTTCCAGTAATATAGACTATTAAATAGCCCAATTCTTGCCAGTGTCTATAAAGTGTAATTAAAATTATTTAAGTTATTATACAACATCATATTATAATATTAAATTTATAGATATAACATATTTAATCAGATAAAATTGAAGATATGCTTGATAACTTGATAAGCCGAATTAAGAAGTAATATTTTTTAAATCTACTATTTAATGATATTATTTTTTAAATAATACTGATTATACCAATATTTTGTATACTGATAATACAATAAAATTAGTTTCATTATATTTAATTATACTGAGTGAAGAGAAATATAATATACTCTGTCCAGCGAGAGAACGGGCCGATTCTGCGCATTTCCCCGCGTCTCCTTGCTATCGAAACCGGTTCCCCTATGGCAGAGTGTTGTGTGGGGGAACCAGTTTTGGTCGGTGCGCGGCACGTTCTCTCGCTGGACAGAGTATAGATGATTAAGTAAGAATAAATATAGAACAGTTATGTCAACTATGTTTTAGTATAGTAGGAGATATTAGACATTACGATTAATTACAAGTTTTTATTAAAAGTATTTTCTATATAATTTACATTCTACACACAATATGTTAATGCAATTTATGTTTTATAACAATGATTTGAAATCATTATTTTTTTAAATTATTCAATATAATTGAGGCTTTGACATAGAAAAAGTACTAAGTCATAAAAACCAAATTTTACAGGAGAATGAAAAAACAGTTTTTATGACCACGATGACTTACGATCAGTGCCATCTTGTGTTCAACGTAATTACTAATATTTAAAGAAATTTGAGTTAGTTCTTTTCCCTGGCTATTGGCATATGTATTTACTACTTTGTCAACAAAAATACGAATAATTGATTTTTTTTTTTTTTTACTTAGTACCTTTTCCATGTCAACGCCTCCACTGTGAAATATAATTTATTGCATATTTATATAGTAAATTAAATAACCTTTTAAATTTATATACAAATCACAAACTATATTTTTAAAAATGAATATATAATTTTTATTTTGGTAATTGATGTGAGCCAATTACATATTATTTAATGTAATGAATAACTTTGCCAAATTTTGACACCTAGGCGACTAAGTATATCAAATATGTTAGTACACATTACCTCACTATGTCAACAGCACCTGGTCGAACTTTTGGGTCACGGCCAGTAACAGAGACACTGGCAGAAAATGATCCATCTATGCTGAATACAACAGTTTCAGTTTGAGGCGGAACAATAGCTAACAGAAAATCTACACTAGTATGATCTCCTCTAAAAAATATAAGAGCATTAATTACACCAGTTTACATTGGAATTCGGAATTATATAACAATATATTTACCTAACAACCATTTTAACGGGATATATTCCAAATCCAAGTGATTTATTTTCAGGTATTGTATAGGTGACTCGTCCATTTTTATCTGAATCTTCTGTAGTTAGATGTGTCCATTCACCATTACCGGGTTCTCTAATTATATGGATATCAACTTTTTCCCCTAAGAAAATATTATAATATTTCAACAAATATATTAATATAGTACTTTAATAGTTATGTAAGCTACTTATCAAAATAAAAAAACAATTACACACCAGCCAATGAAAACATATCAAATGGTCCATAAATAAAACGAGCACTAATTATCTGTGACAAACCTTCTCGAATTATCACATCATTTGCTCGATGACTTGCAGTAGAATTCTATGTAATTAAAGTCATTAATATATTTTATATTAAGAGATATGTCAGTTTACTATTATTTACTTTTATCTTAATGAAAGTCGTTTTACGCTGCCATTTTTCTCTAGGCTGACTGGGGCTAAAAGTAGCCAGTTCTTTTTCCTCATTTCCAATCGAACTATTATAGTCAAATATAGCAAACTGAAATTAAATTTATAATCAGTTTAGAATTAATAAAACCACTATAACATTTTTCAAATTTTAATTCTATATTTAATTTTTACTTGTCTTAAAATAAATGCAATGACATCTGAGGATTCCCAATAGCTAGCATGAAATATATGAGGCAGAGCATTTGTAGGGAAATTTGACAATCCGTCAGGGCAATACAAAGCATAGTCCAATCTCTTAGAACCCCACCATTTTTTTGTCACTGAAATAATAAACTCATTATATTGTGTAATGAAATAACAATAAAAAGTATAATAAAAAAAATTACATTTGTTTATTGCTTGAATTGGAAGTGTATCGGCTATTCCAGAAACTGTACTTAGAATACTTGCTTCAGACGTACGCCTAGCATGATTGTGCTCGGTAAACAATTGAGGATTTGTTTGCACTGCTTCTACTACATAGATAGAATAATGAATAACAAAATATTTTACTCATTTTTTGGTCACTTACATAAATAATATGGTTGTCCTGTTCCAAGAGGATATTTCTGATATCGTGGGATGTTAACGGGTGGCAGAATTGAAAATTTTGCAGAAATTAATGGTTCTAATCTAGATGCAATAGGATCAGATGGATGAAATAAATTGTAAACTTGTTGTAATGCTGGACGTTGAATTGAAGCTTAAATGGAATAAAACATTTGTAAGAAAAAATACATATAGTATATATTTATTAATAAACACAGTTAGAACTTACTTGACTTATCATATTTATGCGCTGAAATTTTTCTAAATGCTAATACAAGTGACAACGGAGATGCAAACATAAACATTTCGTTAACTTCAAAGTCCAAACATACATTACTGTCACTGAAATAATAACAATCATCAGTATTCATCTAGGTTATAATAGTACTAATACAATCTTGATTCAAAATAATAAAAATACCTTGTGGATGATGATCTTCTTCTAACTGGTGGAGTAACTAAAACCTTAAAAGAAGAGTCCATACTACCTACTGAAGTGCAATCATCTGAAATAATTTATTTTATAATTTATTAATATAAATCTTGAGTGTTTCATAATTTTTGTTTATACCATTGTCACTTTTTTTCGGCACATGTTCTGGAGTGCTGTGTCTACTTGCGTCGTGTGACGAATGAGAATCAGGACTTCTACACAAAGCATCATATCCTATTACAGATCCCATAGAATCTCCTATGGTAATATAAAAATAAATAGGTAAAAATAATAAATACATATACTTATAAACTAAAATTAGTCTTACAAACCTATGAAATAAACTCGGCCATTGAATCCAAAACCTTCATCTGACTTTATAAATTCTCGATAAACTTGATTTGCCATACGGATAACATTAGACACTATGTCTTTATAATCATGCGAGCAGCCTGCTAGTATAGGAATAGCACCTATTGGGACGGAATCATGGGTAATATTTGTGCATTCCATACCAGATGGAGATACATCAAAACTGTAAGGACTCAACCTAAAATTAATACTTAAATGGTTAGATAAAATATTAAAACATAGCTTAAATGTATAATATTACTTTGATAATACGCTAAGTCCTTCAGCACATATAGACGGACAAGGAATAAGTCTCATTGCAACATGACCAATCATATTTGGGTAGTGTTGTCGCATGACTGATTCAAATGCTCCCCTAAATGTAGTGAAATCTGATTTCTTTGCCATAATATCGGAATTAGCATCTAAAATATTATTTATGTAAGTGAATACACATATTACTTTATATTAATATATTATTTACCTAGTAAAAATATACAAGTATATATACTTATGTATATTTATTATTTACCTAGTACACTGCCGGAATGTATAATCATCAAAAGTGTACTTATTTGACAATTGTTTTCTTTACTAATTACTGGTGAACCTGGACATGTATCAACACTGTGACCACGCTGAATAAAAGGAGAAGACTTTTTATATGTAGGAGAAAATATACTATCTTCTGTGAACAATAAATTTATTAATGTATTTTTATTAGATATCAATAATTTACTCATTAAAAATATTTCCAATGACATAAATTCAAGATTTCAAATAGTAACCTTCTTTGTCGGGAATACTGGACGAATCATATTCTTGTTCATTTAGTATTGTTAAAGAACTCCATTTAGAGAGAGAAACAATTTCTGAAGTTGGTAAAGTTTCTGAAAGTAAAAGTTTTGTTGAGATTTTATTTAATAAAAATAACATGGGGCTTTCATAATTATACAAATTATTTACTAAAGTCATCCCTACAATATGTCCATTTTAAAAAGTTTACTATACAGTGTCGTACCCAAGGTTGGGGGAGGGTCTGGACCCCCATTGCTTGACAAAATTTAAAATTTTTAAGTGTCGTATACCACTAACGTATACTTTTTACATGTTAAAAAATTTGGACCCCCCTTTGATAGAATCCTGGGTACGTCTTTTATAAAATATATTATTCAATGTTTCTCTATTTCAGTGTTCCTCAAACTGTAATGTTTGCCCCTAGAGCAAATTATTGATGTGTCAAAAAACTTATGTTTTTTAAACTGTATAAACTATAAATTACTAAGTATTTTAAATCCCAAAAATTAGACAGATTTATGGCCATTAGCTGTTTTTTGTTTTGTAGTGGGGGGAAAGTTTAAAATGGTTGGTTGAAACACTTGGGTTTTTAGGTTTTGGCAGAAATTCAAGTTGGGCACCAGTAGGTTTCTGCCCACGGTCGGGGGATGGCGGCCTTACTCTCTAGACAGTTGCTTGCCTAGAGAGAAGAGCCGTCCATGGTCGAGGTTCAAACCGGCAACATTTTGCGTCGGAACTGATGCCGTAGTCCGCTTGGCCACTCCATCCCCCTATCAAATTATTGTATTGACCTTACCTTGACAATCAAAAAATTCATCGTCATTACTCAGATCTGAATCTGAATCTCGAATCAAACTTTCCATTCTCCAATTAGGCGCAGTATCAAAACTTTGAGTAGATCCTGGTGAAGGTATTTGTGATTTGGGATTATTCCAATTCTTTTTCACAGGTATCCGCCTGAATAAAAATAAAAATCATAAATTTACAGTTTTAATTTATACAAACATTGTTATTAAAAATGTTTTAGGACTGACATGCTTGATGATTGTTGAATACTGCTTGATATGGTATCAGAACTGCTAGAAACACATGGTGCTGGAGAATATAGGGTTGAATCTTGCATTCGTTTTGACGTAACAGGTGTGGCTACTTCTAAATCACTTTTTTCTATACTACCCATTGTGGCAGCTAAATTAGTGGCAGTTTTTGTATCATCTACAGTGTCATTTCCTTCACAAATCTCAGAGCCACTGCTACTACTACCCATTTTTCGTTTAAGAGCTTCTTGAGTTTGACGCTCAATTTGACGTATATCATCCATTGTTAGATTTACCCATTCATCTTGCCATGCCCATGCTTGACGATGTGCTCTAACCATAGTTTTCCTCAGAGCTATCCATAAATAATATATTAATAGTAATGCGCAAATGTTATTACTGAATTACAGTTGGCACCTTATGTAAATGTAAGTAAATTTACAGTAAATATACAAATAGAAATAATAAACTCACCAACTTCATGAATGAATTTTTCAATTTTTGTCTGCATACCCCAATAACGAAATTCTACTTTGCACAATTTGTATGCACACATAATAGATTTTCCTGACGATGTGGGCATACTTTTATTCTAAATGTAACAGTCAAAATTTATAGATAACATATTTATATTATATAATATTTATTTAATTACTTGACATTCTTTCCAGTATTCTGATATCCAATTTTCTGATAGTGGGCCTCGACCTGTTTTATCACTTACATACGATTTTGGATCTTCTTCTTTAATGTAATCTGCCCCATATAATTGGTCCTTAACTATGTCTATTATATCTAAAGATACATATAAAATATTATAAAAAAAATAATCAATAATACATTAACTGTTTGTTGAATAATATACATTGATCAAACTTTGTACTTTTATATTTTAATTTAAAAAAAAGTTAAAACATACAATATAACAATTCTAAAAATTAAAGACTATTATATTATACATACCAACAGAAACATTTCGAACTTCACTTTGAGACATTTTGAAGACATTATCATGAGTTCCATTATCAGGGTAATAATAAGTTTCAATTTCTAATGAAAATTTTTCTACAAATGGGCAAGTATATCGAGTTTTTGTGTATGGATATGCATTCCACGCTTCTTCTTCAACGGATAATGCAGATTTTGGTAATAGTCCTTTAAACCAGCCTATAGATAATTCATTACATAATTATTTACCAAGATACTTTTGATCTATTTTTGAATTATCAACCATTTTTTTCTTTATAATTTTACCTGGTAAGTGGCTCCCAACATGATAAATTTTTCTTGTATACTGTCCACCACCAGTATTTCCATCGCCACCAGGGCCACCTTCATAAGGTTCGTTAACTAATATTTCAACTCCACTATCAGCTCCTTTGCTCTCTTCTCTACTTTTTTTCTAAATGAAAATATCTTTTATTAGTGAAGTTATTTGTTTATAACAATTTATTTAACATTACTTACAGCTATCATATAAAGCTGAGCTATTCTGTACTCTTCCACACTGAGCGGGAGTGGTATACGGTATTCTTTGATCAGCATGTTGAATTATTCTCACAAAATGTTTCAAACTAAATTGGATTCAGCACAATTGTTAATAATACAAAATACAAATACATTTTAAAAGTTATAGATATGGTATCTGAGAACAAACAGAGAAACAGTAAGTACTTGGAGTTAAGCCATATCTCAGAAATCCGAGCAGAAATCTGAGTTAAATTTACAAAAGTGTCGAATATATACCTAGAATAGATGTTTAATTGTTTACAGAAATTTTTAAAAATGAAGTACAATGTAGAGCATGAAATAGTATCTCAAGGCCATTAAGTATTAAATCGTATTTGCACTGATATGGCATAAGGTTTCGTTGTATGATTAGTTTTTACTTTGGCTTCCTAAATCAACAGACTGCTTTAAATTCAGGACATATAACTAACAAGGATATTGGCATTAAAAATCATAGCCTTGATATTAACATAAAATATAAAAGTATCTGTAAATAATAGTAAAAATAGAATTTTACTGCTTGGCTTGGCAAATAAATCAAATATTTGAGATAAATCTAACAGGCTTTAAATCAAATAATTAATAATAGAATAACTGTATAATGATTTCATTAAAAAAAATTATAAACATTTGACTTATTTTAGGCAGCAATATGGGAAACATTTTTTTTTTGAAAAAACATGTCAATTTAAAGTAAAATATTAAAGTTTTAAATCAATTAAATTTAAACTATAGTTAATTTATTTTATTATTACCTTTTCTTCATGTAAATATTATAAAAGAAATATAAATGCGAACAAGTATTGTTATATTTTTTTTTAATAATTATTTATTAAGTGAAGTAAAAAATAAATAAAATTATTGAAGTGATCAAGATAATACATAAATAAGCACCTATTATAATTATTATAAATATTTATATTAGGTAAATAACTTTGATATTATCTTATAACATTTTCATTCCACTATATTAAATTCAATGTTTAGTTAGGTGTCTATGTGATATCAGATTCTTACATCCTCTTAAGAATAATGCATCATTGTAGATAAGTTTATTTCTAGGAAATACTCATGTATGTTTATATAGGTACCTAGTGTAAATTTAAGCAAATTTAACATAATTTTTAATCATAAAGTAAAATAAAAATAAAAGTAATAAAATCTATTTACTATATGAACAAAAAAAAGTATTAATCAAAATAACCATTCATTTCAATTCTTGGAAAATTTATTATCTATTAAAATATTATGTTTGGTACTTTTTTATTTTCTCTCTCAAACAAACGTGCAACGTAGTAAATTGGCGTTCAGAACCAGTTTTGTGTTATTACTTATTAGCTTTAATATTAAAGTGTATTGACATATTATGAAACTTAAAGTTCAAATAATTATCTAAGTTTGTATGTTGGGTGTTAGGTACTTAAATTTTTCTACAATATATGAGCATTTTTAATATTTTGTATACTTTGCACTAACTTGACTTACATGGAAATTGAAATATCTTAAAAAAGTCAATGTACAAATATAAATAATGTTCTTAACTTTAAGTTTGATAGTAGGTCCAAATCATTAAAGCTAACACAAGATTAGTTCTGCTGAATACAAATTTGTTCCTTGTGGGTCAGAGAGAGAAAACCAATAGTGTGGGACATTCTCTTAATAGGATATTTAAAATAGAAAAATAATTAGAGCAAATACATACAATTTGTGAATGAGAATTTTCATATAAAAGTTTACCATGTTTTAGAAATCTAGATAGAAGCAGCATAGGTAGGTATTTAAATTATGAAATTGGCAATTAAATGTTTAAAGTTGATACTAAATGTTAACTATTTTCCTAATATAGAAGTTCAAAAACAAATTTCAATGTTGGATGTTTTTGAATTAAAAATGACTTGCACATATTTGTTTTATTGCAAAGAAGTCATAAACTAAAAGATAAATTAAATAAGAACAACTGCACCTGTATACATATTAATACAAGAACTTTATACTGCCTATTCATATGAAAGTGAATACATACAGGGTAATACATGCAGGTGTTTCAGTATTAGTCAATTGAAAAATGTTCAATTTGATGTATATTTAAATAAATAAAACATTTTGTTATCATGCAATCATACACTTTTTTACGTATCGTTGAAAATAATCTATTTTACAAAATTTTAAAATTGGATAACAATTATCATACCCAGTGACAATTTGGGTTTAAATCAGTGGTGGATCTATGGAGGGGTTGAGAAGGTCAGCTAATCTAGTTATAGATGTTTTTAATAGGTACCTAGATCTACTAAATGCTAGTAGCCCCTCTCAGCTTCAGAACATTACTTTCTTGATGGGTCAAATTAAAAACTACTGACGTTGGATGACCCGTAGTTTTCTAAATCTGACTAGATCCACCACTGGTTTGAGGTCCAACAACGCGACCGCTTAAATCCTGTGTCAACATGTAGAAAAGAAGAATTAATGCATTGCAAGTATGTGTTACCGGGGTGAGGGAGGGAAAAACAAACAAATGGAAATGTTGGAGGGGCTGGCGCATGACATTAATAATTAGGCACTAAATAGGTAATAATTTAGGCGGGTACAGTGCACGAAATAAAATAAAGTTGAAATATTGAGAAGAAAAAAATCGATAGGTAGTGTAAGTAGGCACCATTAGGTACGACTCTTCGGGATATTTACCATTTTTCTCTGCGTCAGATCGTGTCCAAACACCAATGGGAATTCTCACGAGAACGAAGAATCACGCGATTGAACGCATATCGATCGACAGACGGCGACAATCGCGAATAAAATATGTGAGTACCTATCAGGTCGAGAATAAAATTTAAACCAAGAGTAGGCACCGTATATTGGCTTTACGAAATAACGTTCATAATGTTATTATAATATTGCACGAATTCGCGCTCTTTTTTGTACTTTACGGTAAATGCAACGATAATAACGATATTAGTAATAATGATCGGCAATCGGTGAGCTGGTGCGGACACGAGAGGGTTAAAATAATGTTATTACCTATATTTTTATGGAAACGCGATCACAACACACGTCGAACCGACGCGCACGGCAAGAGCAGTTTACAAGAACTTCGACCGCGCACCTCGGCAGCAGCGGCAGTCGTCGTCCAGCCAATTTTTTCACGTTAACAACAACTACTACTACTACACCTTATCAGATGAGCCGCGGCCCGCCGACAACGCTGCCTGTCGGGCTGGCGCGCAAACGGCGCGGAAAACGCAGCTACGACAAATTCGGTGTACCCATAGGTATGTATAAATGCACGAAAACGCGCGATCATGTAAGTACATTTTTTTTGTTTTCACGTCCATACCCGATTTAAGAAATTATTCGTCTGTAATACGGTGTAACTCACTGTGTTAGTACCTATATCGAAGATCGACACGGGTTTATTTTTATTTCAAGGCGTCTGAGATTCGACGAACAGATTACCTAAGTCTTGTTTGGTAGTTGGTACCCATTATTGAGTTTTATTTCAGGTAAAAATTATAAATAAGATATACCTAGGTAATATGTAATTTATTCATAAGGAACAAAGTATTGAAAAAAATTAAAGAAAACAAATCGTTGTACAAAATATGTTGTAAGTACCTATAATACCTATAGGACTACCTATTTGTGTGGCAGGATGACTTTAAAAATTTTTAAAACGATATATGAAAATGTCAAGTTGTACAACTTTTTGATTTCGTTACGCTCGACCTATTAGCGGTTGCTAGAAAATGTATTGTCTCACGGCTAAAATATGGTGGTGGAAATGTTGGGCTTAGATAAATTAATAAATTGGGCCGTTTTGTGTCGTAAAACTTCGAAAAAGACAATTATAGGCCACCCCTCCCCCCCCAAAAAAAAAAATTCTAGATCCGCTACTATTATAGGCTACCGATTCCGGGTATACTTGGTATATTGAGAAAGTATTGGGTACCTATATTATATACATAGGCGTAATCTTGGGTAAATTCTTAGGGGGGGGGGCTGTCTGTGGTAAAACTATAAATCTATAAGGTAAAATGATACTAATGTCCACTCAGTTAAACCTACCTTGCCCCCCCTCCATCGAATTAAGACTATGCCTATTTAGTATACAAGTACTTATATTGTATTCATTTAATCATTTACTAAACACAGATAAATTATGTGATCAATACAATTATGCAAATAAACGTATCGACATCGATATTCGATGTAGGTTCAGTTGGATACTTGGATGTAATAGAGGCTCGATGTTAGACCCAGAATGGCTATAAGGATTAAGGAGACTAGAATAAAGAGGCAAATTCTACTTAAAAAAAGTCCAGAAAAGAGTCGCTTAAATACTTGATTAAAGGATTGCGTTGCGGTATTACATCAGTTGCTATATTTTAACCCGGGTAATATACAGTATGTCCCAGAAGTCCTGTATCACCCTTAGTATATCCGTGGAAAATCAATATATTTAAACGCAGTTTTTTTTACAGTAATAAGTATGAACGTTCTGATTAAATAGCATAGTATTTGAATTTTTTTTTTAAAAATTCAAAAAATTTTTAGGCATATAAGTTATACAAATTTCCAAGATGGCCATTTTGTTGATCGTATTTTTAAATGATTTCAAAAAAAAAAAATATTAAAATTCTCCAAGTTAGAGCTAGTTATTATTTTGAATTTATAAAATATCAGCGTTCCAATTTCTGATTACAGCATGCGAATCGTATTTTGCTAATGCCGTACCTATATGCATATTATGTAGGTAACAAATTACAAAACTATATTATTCTTAGAAATTCGAAATAATAATTAGCTTTAATTGGGTGATTTTTATTAAATTTTAATATTTTTTTTTTTGAACTTTTTTAAAAAATACAATCAACAAAATGGGTATCTTGGAAGTTTAAAAAACTTAATTGCCTAAAAAAATTTTTTGATAATTTTTGAATTTTTGAAAAAAAAAACCGAATATTATGCTAGTCAATCAGAATTTCCATACTTATTACTCTAAAAAAAACTGCATTAAATAATATATTGTTTTTCCACAAAGATACTAAGGATGATACGGGACTTCTGGGATACCTATACTGTATAATAGGAATTTTTCATGTGTTTTTCTTACAGTTTTTGGATATTTAGCCACCGAATCATTATAAATTTCATTACAACATTGTACATAGGCATTAAAGACCGATGTCACATTAGTATACATAATACGTCAGGTAAATACATTTTAATAAGTAAAAATAATTAAATTGACTATAAAATTATGTTGTGGTGGAAATATCAAATAACACTCCGCAGTCTGCACTCTGCAGCAGTCTAAATTATAAGCTCATAGGTTTAATTTACAAACGAAAACATATACAAAATTTGATTTGAGGTTAGTGGAGGTATTAAAGGCAAAAGTATAAAAAGTGCATATAAATTATGTAATATACTAGGTACCTATAAGGAAAAAAAAATTAAAAGGGATTCAGATTTCAGAGGCACACACAGGTAAGTAAATGAATTTTAAGAAGAAAAAAATTTATAAATGTATACAAAATTAAAAAACTTGAATAAACAGGAATAGGTCTGGAGGCAAAAACAAATACATTTAATTTGCTGTACAGTTGTAGGTATTAAGTGGGTCACTGTTATGAATGTGTTAAATTGTAATTCAATGATAGGTATCATTATATACAAAAATCGATTTTGAGCTGAGATGGTCTGTCAGCCTAGGTTAGGTCAAGTATATTTAATGACATAGGTATTTTTTTTTGATAATGTTATTAAAGTAACTTATTCTATTATTTGTATTTCAGTAGGTTGATTTAATTTTTTGCCGAAAACATTGCATTTACTATGTTAATTAATACATAGTTATTAATTATTATAATAGTGTATATTTATATCGCATGTTATTAACTTTTGAGTCAATATCAGTTTACCGGAGAACAGATAGTGTTATTAAGTTCATGATATAAACAGGAATATTTTTAAAATATCATTGCACAGGTTAATAAAACTTACAATATACGTAAAATGTTTAGCATTTTAAGTTCCCAAAAATAACGATTTTAGATTATAACAAAATAACTAACATCCTTTTTCTTTGTTTAAATATTTGTTTAATCAAAGTTGAACTTAAAATGTCTATAAATGAAAACCGTGTTTATATTAATTAAAAATATATTATATTGATTTTTTGGTTAAAATTAACTACTTATGAGAAACCTTGTTGTAAATGTTCAACCTTAGCTATAAAAATTGATCATTTTATAATTTACAACAAAATAAGAAAATCGTTCGAAGAGAAATAATTACTCGTAAGCTCATAAAAAATTATTAAGGAATTACCCTCAACTTTAATTTTTAACTACACTAATACCAACTTATATGAAGACCTTGTATTGAATTTTCAAGTTTTTTGACTGACCAAAAAATTATTTAGGTACATAAAAAAAAACTAAATAATCTCACATGGCTATAAATAACTCAAAATATTTTAAACACTTTATTATGTATGGAAAAATCTTTGATTTTTAGTTTTTTAGTTACACTATAAAACCAAAATTGATTTTGTCATAAATTAGTTTTATGTAAAAATTAACGTTTTTCCTTAATTTTTTTTTATGTTTTTCCTTACGCTTTTTAAAACTACCTACTTGGATTTATTTACTTTTGACCGCCTAAGTACCAAGAAGATTAACTTTCCTACCAGAAAATATGCTGAAGTAGAAAATAAAAGTACTTTTAATACCTTACAAGGTGATGAACTGATGACAGACAGAAAAAAAAGCACACACATCGCATTCAATCATTGTGAAATCAATACCTACATTCATTGCCCCAGCATCAGAATCTAGAACAAAAAACATTTAATTAACTATTAAGTAAAAAAGAATGTTCTAAGGAGTTGGAAACTGTAGACTCTAGTGGATTTTTAGTTAAAAAACTAACATTTTTAACTAAAAAACAAATAACAATGAAGCTAAAACAATTAACGAATATTCAAATGTGACATCAGGAGTTTGTTGGAAAAAGTATAAAAATTAAATTGATTTATGGTAATATATATGAAAAAAATGGTGGGAGGAATAAAGGTGCCCGTAAGCAAATGCATTTTAAAATGCAAATAAAATAATATTAGATACAAATATATTATGTTATTGTGGAAATGGAGACATGCAGTCTATATTGGGGGTTTATGCAAAAGCATATAGGTACCTACTATAGCATATAGGCCTTATAAAGCCTAAAAGTGCATATCAGTTAAAGAACTTTAATACTATACCAACAAAAAATGGGAAATGGTTCAGAGGGGCTCATAGAAAAATGATTTTTAAAAAGTAAAATAAAGCTCTTTTCGGAATATTATTTGTGAAAAAAGTGAGTTACCTAAAATTAAATAAAAGTGTATTTTAAAGTTCATGGGCTAATGTCATATTTTAATAGTCAAGTATTTGCTAGACATACTATTGGTTAAACCTTTTTTTACAGTTGTCAAGGCTTTATGGCAATGTATATTTTATGAAATACTAGGTGTCCCGGAAATGGTTTGCTATTGCTAGATTTTATTATTATTATTATTATTATTATGTACTATATATTTATTATTATTATTATGTACTACATATTTATTATTTTAATAATTTCTTTTTTACATTTTTTGTAAATTTTTATTTTAAGGTTTCATTTAATTTTATAGGTTTTACTTTTTTACTTTCTAATTTTTATCTTAAAGCTTCACTGTACACTATGTTGTCAGTGGTATTTGTAGGTGGCCACAAAATATATTGATTTTCAGGAGATCCTACTCGACAAAGGACAACATATAATTGCCCATGAGAAAAGCACTCTTTTCTTAGGTCGATGCTAACCATCGAGAAAGTTTGTCCCTGGGATTTATTTATTGTAAGGACAAACGATATGTTTACAGGGAACTGTAACCCTTTATACGATGTAGGAAAATCCGTGGGTATTATCGGGATCCGTGGAATGTGAGCGAGCTGTCCTACTGCGGGACCGGTGATTGTTGCTACAATCACATTGTCTCGTAATTCGTTAATCAAAAGTCTTGTGCCATTAGTCATTACACATTACTGAGAGGGCTTAAATTTCTCAATGGCATAATGGGAGTACCTACTTATAATTTCAGTTCTTGGGGTGGAAAGCCGGCAGGATTGAGGGAATTTAAAAATTCTCATGGGTAGTCCACTGATACAGGCGTATCGTTTTAATAATAATAATTATTAAAACCGATAGCAATCATTTACAAACACATATTTCCATCATAAATATCAAAATCACTGTTGGAGCACTTCCTCGGGTTCAGGGTTGGACCTCTAATTTACTCTTTTGAAATTAACCTATGTTACTCAGGGATAATGTAGCATTCTAAATTCTAATGGTGATAGAATTTTTGAAATCAGTCCAGTAGTTTTTGAGTTTATTTGTTACAAACATCCAAATGTTTTCTCTTGATAATATTAAAAAAAGTAAGTATATATTATAATATAGATTAAAGAGTATAGATATAAATATAGATATAGATAGGTTTAGGTATAGACGTACAGTTTAATATTACATTGCCGGTATTTATTTTCTAATACATTAGTTGAACCTAATAAGGCTTCTCTCAGGGGATGGGCATTGGGCATACAGTGGTGGATAAGGTACCCTGTAACTGGTGTTACTCTACACCGCTCAATGCTCAAGCTGCATACTTCAAAATTTAACTACTCGTTTGATATTCGATGTGAATGCATGCAAATTATCAGGGAAATATAAATTTTTGGAATATGAAATTAAACATTAATGTTGTCTGTTGTCATCATAATATAAGAAAATAAAATATTTAAAAAAATAATAATGATAAAAAATAGTAAAAACATAATATTTTTTTTTAAATACCTACCCATGTTGTTTTATTATGATTTCAAATTTTTTAAAAGAATACATTGTTTATAATGTAAATACTTTTCGGGATAATGGGTGTTTACGTCATGACGTAAAATCGTCAATAATTTATATTTCTCAATTCTCATACATAGTTTTGGGCTCGTGAACTAAACAGCATACTTTGGATACTCTCTAGGTATAATTGAAAGGGTGGGTAATCAAGTAACTTCCGGAAGTACCTATATATATTCGCCTACGATAATATTACATAAATACGTGTTATAGGTATTCATAATGCAATTGGTACATTATACCATTATAGTAACTACCTATATCGGGTATACCTACTAAAATAATTTATAATGATTACCTATAAATACGTATGGATTACAGGCGTTTAGCGTACATACCATCTACCTATACGGCTATACATTTACTATACTACACGTATGGTTATTTAGATATGATATGATGGTAAATACAATGGTCAGATGTCCTAGAAACGCTCATGCAATTATTTTTTATAAAAATTACAATTTATATTTGCTAGTTTTTTTAAGTAGTTTAATACCACATAAGTTTGTAATATGTGTGCGTGTGCATCTATTTATTAACGTTTCTGTCATTGTCAAGCCATATACATTTTGCTCGGCTAAGGCTCAGTCAATGGCCAAAGCACAACAAACGTTGCAAATGACCTGTGAATATTGTGATACAGCATATTATAGTACTATATACAATAATTTATATATGTGTGATTTATTTGACTCATAATATTATGTATAACCAATAGTAATATAATGGAAAATGTCAAAATCAGTACAGGTTGTAGCAGAGGTTTTTTAAAATAATTATTCTAAATCTATATATTCTCTAAAAAACTAATATAGATTGTATATTCATAAATCCTTACACCCAATAGTACCTATATATTATTGTGATAGGTGATCTTAACTCAGAATCAAACGAATTTAATAATGTCAGTCAAGTATACTATAAAATTATTATAATTAAAACGATATAGGTAAGTATATCAATACGCTATCATAGGCGTGCGCACAGGGTGTGCTAGGTGTGCCTTGGCACACCCCGTGACCTGTGGCTTTTTGTACAACTTTTATTCATTTGGGGACTTTTGTAAAATTTCAAGCAAATTAAACGCATCATGTCATCATTATGGACAATGGTGAAAAATGTCAAAACTACGCCAGTCGTATCAAAATATGACCTAACCTATTGTATTTCCAAGAAAAACTGATGTTCGATACGTGTATCTCGATTATCTTGTGTACACTTTCACTTGAATTAAGCCGGATACTGTTCGTTTAACATAAACATCATATTATAATTAATAGTAGAAAAATAAAATAAAGTATATTGTATGTGCATACAGCCTGCATATATGTATAGTCAGAATTTTATTTTAAAGAGAGGGCACCATTCAGTAGGTTTACAGTGCACATTTATAATATTATAGTATCGTTGTATTATTCGTATGCAGTACTATACACATTGATATTATATACGTTATATGTATTACATATTGTATACATAATTAACAGTGTGCAAAAAAAAAAACCGAGATTTTCTGAAGGGAGGGAAAAGCACTTGTCTGGATATAGCGCCACAATACATAATATAGCATTATATACACATAGGTACTCGAGTGTAAAAAATGATATGCGAAAAAAAAATAAAAAGTACGGTACCGAATGTTTTAGTCGTTTTACAGTGATATTTTCTTTTCGTAAATATGTGTACATACGCATTTACGGTTATTTGTAATGTAGAATTAAGAGACTATTATTTTATGTATGGAAAAATAACTATTTATTTTATAGTTTATACTAACATAATCAGTCCTGTAAAGTATTTGAGTAAAAGTATTTGAGTAAAAGTATTCAAATACTTTTTTAAGTATTGAATAACTTTTTAAGTACTTTCAGCATGAAGTATTTTGAATGGTATTTTAAATACTTTTTTTTGTATTAAATACTTTTTGGTATTGAATACTTTGATTTTTTATTTCGAACATTTTATTTTTATTCGAAATAATTTTAGAAATTTTAGAATGAATTAAGAACACAAAATAGGTAGTATCGCCAATGGTGGTTTCTTCCCTCAAAAAAAAATCATACGCAAATACCCAATGCATATTTGCTTATTGTTCTAGTTAAGAACAGATTGTAAATTTCATGTAAAAATAAAAAAAAAAAATGTAATAAATATTTATTTAATAAATAATAAATAAAAATGATTATAAATTTACTACCTATGTGTCTATATTACAATAATTAGAAACCCACTTTAAAAACCAAAAGATTTTGAAAAGTATTCCAAATACTTTTTCAATGTATTTGAGTAGTATTTGAAATACTATACAATTAAAGTATTTGAGTAGTATCTTAAATACTTAAAAAAAATGTATTTGAGTACTTACTCAAGTACTTTTCAAAAGTATTCTTTACAGGACTGAACATAATATGATATAGGTAATACAATTTTTATTCAATAATTAATTTTATCTCCCCAACAGTCAATACAATGTAATAATTATTATCCAATAGTACTATTATCTATAGACTATATTGATATACGCGGTGTATGATATAAATGATTGTAAAATTTGAGTTTTTATGTACCTCAAATATATAAATATATTATGTTTAATTAACATGCTTTATTATGCATATTTAAACATATCCGCGGGGAAATATAAAAAACCCATATTTACGTCGAATAGGTTATAGGTAACGTAATCATGGACGTTTTTGCGTGTGCCCTAGAGAGGTAATTTTTTTAAGTATTTCGTTTGGCAGTGTTTTTTTAGGAAAACAAATTATTTTATAGGGACGTTGAATTAATATAATTTAGTATAATTTTAGAAATCAATGCTACATTATATTATACTATCTTAACGATCAATTTTTAATTAAAATAACTTTTACATTTTGTAATTTCATTGTAGCAGAATATATTCTTATGAACTATACGACTTAAAAATCTATCAAATATTGAATTTAAGTTCTAGGAATTTAAAGTTAAGTATTTCGACGAATGAAGTCAAATTGTAGGTACCTAATGGTTCTTCGAATATTTTGAAATAGCCATCAAAAGAAACCATGAAAAATTCTTTATTTCTGGTAAAATGAATCGCTTTGTACACGTTTATTTACTATCAAATAGATAAAATATATTTGGAAACTGCATGTAAATTTGAATACCTATACCTACTCGGTATAGAGTTTAGACTAAATATCAAGATTCACAACGAATTTAAATTCGACATGATATGAGTTTACTATCATAATAGTTTCATAATATAGTAAACTATTAATTGCCCATACGCCAATACATTTGTTTTAAAAAACTTAGGAACTAAAATAATTAAAAACAACATGTCAACATTTGGAATAGAAATAAAAAAATAAAATCTAATATTATGATAAAATTATATTGACAATAGTATTTATTTATATCTTGTACAAAGATAGACTTTAGAAGTTTTTACCCTTTCTTAACATGCAATAGGTAGGTAGTAAATAATTTTCGTTACTTTAGTAGATCATAACATTATATTCATATTATGACAATAAGTAAAGTACCTATATGTGAATATTATAAGCGTGCTAACATTAATAATATGTATTTTGTACGGTAAAATTTTAATTATGAATTATTATTACATCATTTAATAATTTTGATGAGTACCTAATGATAATCAAAAATTCATCATACGTATGAGAATAAATAAAAACTTAGTAGGTACTTAAGTAGTTTATTATAAACTAGATTCCAGTGTTTGTCATCCCGCCTACGGCGGAAAGACTGTGTGGGCGGTGGTGCATCTTTGTCGGCGATGCTGGGTTTTTTGATTCAGCCTGCGGCGGGAATGGGGGGTCGTCGGTTATTGTGTTTTGTCGTGTTGGCAGCACTGGTTAAGCGGTAATTTTTGAACTCGGAAGAGTGTCTAGTCGTAAGTCACGCGATTCAAGTCGATCGTACGACACAGCCAGCCAGGTAGGCAATCCGACTACGTCGGATCGCAGACCATGCACCGGGCGGGTATGTCCAGTTCTGGTGTGTGTGTGTTGAAATCGGAAATTCGGATTCTGGGTTTGAGTGTCTAGCTATCAGTCATCTCGGGTAAAAGTCGATTCCCGAGTGTCGGATACAGTGGGGGACACTGGGG